TAACAAAAAACCAAAGATTCCCTTCTCAAATTTCAAGGTATAAGCATGCAAGAGTTTGGAAAGTGAGATAGATCGTTTCAAATGCTAATCCCTCAATTTTCAAGAGCTGGAGACATTTTTGACACATTGTCCACATATTTGTTTGCACTGTTCAACGCAGAATACGACAGCATAAATAGAGAGCGAGAATTTTGCAGTGCAAGGTAATCGCACTTGTAGAATATTTATTGAAGAAATTTTGAACGACTTCTTGTAAAATTGGGTCCCTTCCTCCCCCCCCCCCTTCCGAGATTGGGTAGCGAATTTTTTGAAGTTTACTTAGGGCTACAAAAATGTGCAAATGACTTCTTTATTACTGTAAATGATTGAAATATTTTTTAATCTTGGAAAATTCAAGTTATTTCTCACGGACCCGCACGAATTTCGAGAAGCACCCCAAAAATTTTTAATGAGTGCGCGGCTAACGCCAAGCACGTTCATTTGAAATTAATTTTGCTCCCACCTCCCCTCCGGGCTAAAATCCTGCGGCCGCCACTGTTACCATAAGAAGAGTGAAGCGAGTTCTAAAAAATCCGCGGAAACTCTGTTCGATTTGGAGTTTAATGCCAAAAAATTCAACTACAAAACTCATGTCTTCGTCCATAACTTGTTTGAAAATTTCCATGCGCAAGCTCCACCACTAAAAATTTTTGGAATTTACGGCTAGAGTGCCAAAAACAAAAAGAAGTCAGAAATACGAATAAGTCGCGATTTTCATTGCGATGAACTTGATATTTCTAAAAGTAGCCCTTATAGAAAGTTGGAAATGATATGAGCAGAGAGAAACAAACTAGGTTTTTCTACATTCACATCAAAGCTGAAATTGGAGTTGGTGGTATCGAGTAAGGATTTAGTCCGGCGCCGCGAAATCACCATTCCTAGCACGGCCAGGCACCTTTTTCCAGGAATGGCGTACGATAATTTGTCAGTGACACGTACGCATTATCCAGGTAATGCAAGTTCTAGAAAAAAAGGGTGACTTTGCAAAATCGGGAAGAGTCAAAAGTATAAAAATTATAAAATTGGGAGCTTTTAGGCATGTATGCACAAACATTTTCACATGTGAGAGGAGACGCGTCATATTTCACTACTCTAGATATCTATAATCTTCTTTTTTTGTATATGTTATGAAGGTTCTTATACCCTGATACCAGTGGCGGACCGAGGCCCCCCCCCTCTCGAGAAAGGGTCGCGAAATTTTTAAAAGTTACTTATATGGGTTACAAAAAACTCAAATTAGCTTTGTGAAAAAAAATTTTTTCGTGGCGTGGCTCATGCCACGCCCACTTTTCCCAGATTTTAGGGGTCGGAGACACGCGAAAATTTTGAGAAGCATCCGCACCCCAAAAATTGTTTCGGAAAGCGTAGCTTATCCACGCACTCCGAAACATCATCTCAGACAATCGCCGGGGGCAGGCGGGCACCGGAAAAATAGATTGCTGATCTCTCGCACCCCGCGCGCGGATTTTTTGGAATGCAATCAGGGCTTTTCGGAAGACCGCTTGCTGAGTTCTCGATTCCTCAGAGATTCAGCAATATATTTGCAAAAGATAAGAGCGAAAAAAAATTCAACGGGCGTCTCTCAAAAATCCGCTGACTCAGCAAGCCGTCTTCCGAAAAGTCCTGATTGCTTTGCAAAAAATCCGCGAGCGGGGTGCGAGAAATCAGCAATCTATTTTTCCGATGCCCGCCTGCCCCCAGCGATTGTCTGAGATAAGATCGAGTTTTCACCGTTTTTGATCAATCGCAAAGTTGTAATGAGGATCTAGTATGACATTGTTAGGGATGTTTTCATTGCTACTATAAACATGTTTGACAGTGCTATAGTATATCCTCGGTACAGTTTTACACCATTTTCGTCGGGTTTATAGGAAGTTAGATGATTTTGCAAATGTGAGGTGATCTCCCGAGCATTCTAGGGGATCACACAAAACAGAGAAGAGGGTAAATGTAAATGTAGTAAATGGTCAAAACTTAACCCAGCCATACCGAACAAGCTATAAATCATCGGACTTGTCTTGATACGTTGACCTCAAATATATGTTAACTATCTGCCAAAAACTATCTGGACGAGTTATGGACGTTTGAGTGTGCGATTTGTCAAGCGTTCTGCCAGTCTCACGAAATAAGTTCTAAAAACCTTTGTTTAGGTTTTTGGTGAAAGCGCTTCTTCCTTGTAATTAGAATATTCATCGCCACTGCAAATCCGCCCGTCAGGCTGCCTTTCAACGAGCTGTCGTTGGAACTAGAATACTCATCTTTGAGCGCTCATATAACTTTATCTGAAGGATCGCTTGGCAGAGAGTAAACATCTATTCGAAATCAGCATTTCAAAATGTGTCCGATGAGACAAGGTTTGTTTCGAATGCTTGGATGAAGTCCTGACCACTTCCTACTCAGTTTGTGTGGCAGAGTTCTGCCATCTATTACACTCAAATCTTAATGTGTGTGAGCCTTTATAAGGGAGCCTCCAGACCGCGCCAGTTGCCGCTTTTGCAGCCGAAGCGCCCTGGCTCAGATTTTGGCCACGGAGCGCGGAGTGGGGATCGCAGTAATGGAACTTGTAATATTTTTTGTTCTCTTTCACGTTACTCTTTCTTTTTGAAGGCTTTCTTCTATATTGTAGTAAACAATGCCGTTGTAGATGTGCTTCATCTGATCTATTTCCCTTTTTACACCGCGGTGCTGGAGTAATGAAGGAATTTTTCCTTTTGGTGTGTATCCTGCTGCGGTCATGCTAAAGCAAACGAACTAGTGTTAAACGAAGTCTCTCTCTTCCAGGCTATCCTTTTCTGCTAATTGACCGACTTCGTCAAGAAACGAGGTCTTTTTTCGTATTTGTTTTAATTTTCAAGCTATACTATTATCTAGATTTCGTTTTGACGATATAGTCATGTTGGATGAGTGGTATGACTGCAAAGCAAGGATTTCCTACCTCCTTTCCGTCTTGAAGGGTCTATATGCTAAGTGGAAAATGTCGCTGCAAAACGGTGTTCTCGTATTTCTTTTTTTCTGAAGCTCCACTATACTGCGAGCGATATCGTGGGGCGAGAATTAGTGGAATTGATGGAATAAGTTTCATTTGTGCGTTCCTAAGGATAAAACCTGACCCAGCGCGCTTCGACTGCAAAAGCGGCAATCGGAGCATTTGCGGCTACCGCTGCAATAGCGGCAACCAGCGCGGTCTGGAGGCTCCCTAAGATGGATTGAAAACGAACACTACAAATACGTAAAGTAGCGAGTCCCCTCTCAAATCCCCTCTTCTCCTTCGCAGCGATGTACATCCATAAGGGCCTCAGATTTCATAGAAACTAATGGATGCAGGAAGCATTTACTGCAGAATGTTTGCCTTGTCCCCATCATATGTCGACGAACACATGCAAATCTAGAGAAGATAAAAACCTTAATTTGAAACTTTGGCATTAATCTTAACATGCAATGCTGCGCGGAAGGGAAAAAGCTTATTCGAATTTTTTGAGATGTTTTTATCCTTTGAACTGAAGTGACTTATGCATAGGTCCAAAAATGGTATGGTCCCCTTAATGATAAGGACTAGTATCATCATTCGAAAACAAGAAAATCGGAACCCTTTGCAAACATTGTCTAAAACAAGCTTTAACTTGTTATTTGGTCAAAACTAGTAAGTATTGACTAAATAAAAGAGGCGGCCTTTCCTACCGTCTCCATAACCGCCCATTTTTGTCGGAACACGTCACGCCCGCAGCAAAGTTTGAATGATTGTTTTTTTTGTACATACTTGCATAGAAAACAAAGCAGCAGGTTGAGTAATCATTCATCTAATCGTTACTTTGAAATATAGACCGAATGCTTTTTTTTGCCCTGGATGGACGCTGTTGAGCGAATCTATAATGAAAAAAATGCAAACGACATCATTACTTGATCGAAAATCTTCTGTATATAAGTAAGGCGTCTTTACGTAAAATTCGCTATTTCTGTATTTCAAGCAAAACTTCAAACGTTTCAAATTTCATCTTTTTTCCAGTTTGGTAGATAGCACGCAGTAGTCTTTTGTTTGAATACGCATTTTGGAAACATAAGCTCAGTTTTCAGCTTCACCTTCAGAATCCGAGCAAGAAGATTCTCCACAGATTTATTATTTGTTTTAACAAGTTGTCCCATAAGTCTTTTCATTTCTGAGTCTTCGTTGTAATAAGTCACACACTTCTTATTCTAAATAGACACCAGGACACGATAGAGTAAAGCAAGCTTTATAGGATGGCGTTTATGCTTTTGCACAAGCTTTGGTCCATCTCAATTTTTTAAAAATCTAAAAAGCTCCGAATGCCCAAAAAACCGAAATTATTTTATATCTTCGTTCAAAAAAATCCTACAGACCTCTCACTCGCTCACGCATATACATTCCAAATCAGATATTCATATGTGCTGTTGCTGTATTTTTTTATCAGCTAGAAATCAAGAAACCAAAAATTTCTATTTTTACCAAAGTGATGCTGTGCTGTTCTTACACTAACAGTTGTATGATACAAGCCCCTAGAAGCACATATGAATGGATGTGGAATGTATATGCGTTAGCGAGTTAGAGGTCTGTAGAAATTTTTTGAACAAAGATGTAAGAAATTTCCGGTTTTCTGGGCATACGGAACTTTTTAGATTTTGGTTCAAAACTCGAAATGGACCAAAGCTTGTGCAAAAGCATAAATGCCAACTTATAGAGCTTTGCTTTTGTCTATCGAACAGTGTCCTGATGTCTAGTTAGAATAAGAAGTGTGTGACTTATTATAGCGAAAACTCAAGAATTAAAAACTTGTGGGACAACCTAATATATGCGATATACTATAATATATTGAAATGTGACTCGTTAAATAACCAATCGCCTGATTTTAGTAATGTTTCATGATCACCTTATTGATGATTCATATGAAACTTTGATGTGCTTTATTTTAAGTTTAAACTCATAGCATGCTCTAATCTGCATTTTCAGACACTTCGGACTTATACTTCGCTCTAAACAACAAGCATGAACTTGATGTTCTTCACACATATACTCGTGATATTCTTAATGCTGGTAAGCTTTAATGACCAAAAATCCTAATCGTCCCACCAATTTACAGTCAATCTGTGTCTTCGATGCTGCTGATGCAAAGAAGAAAAAGAAGCCGAAGAAGAAGAAGGTTATGACTAAAATTAAAATTAAAAGAAGGAATTAGAATCCCGTTTTCGTATAAAGGCATCAAATCTACGATCTTTATCTATGTATGTATTCAGAAGGTTACATCTGTTACCGTTTGTGTGAAAACTACTTGCTAAGCTGGCGGATTTGCTTGTCATCATATAGCACATGCTACAGTTCTGGACATAATTTTAAAGCCACTCTTAGAATTGTCGTAGTTTTCGTTCTTGTCAATGAATCTGTCTGAAACTTTGCTGTATTGTGCATCTCAACCTACCCCTCAAAACGGCTTCCAGTCTTGTTGAGTTTGAACGGAGAAAAACGAAAAAATTCGAAAAAGCCCTTTTTAAAAGCTGAACAAAATTATAAAGCCACCTGGTTTTTCTAATCACTATCGCATTCGTTGACTCTCAAATTTTTTGTACAACTACATCTCAAAATATGAAACATCTGCAACACCTACGGCCTGTCATCCTACTCAAATAGAAGCGATCACTGCTTTTTTGCTTTCAAAAGTACCAAGACTCAATCTGCTTCAACAAACAACTGGTAGAGTTTTCAAGCTCTTGCTCATTTCAAATATCATAGAACCTACTTGCCCTTCTGGATAGATGAGGTGAAGAGCGCTTTCGTAAACTCTACGTAATCGCTGATTTTGACGGACAGACTCCAACCTCACCAAAGGGATGAAGCACTTTTGCACCACAAAACTCAGTTTGCAATGTCCAAATGCTGAACTTGATTTATTACATTGCCTACATGGGAATGCAGCTTTCGCAACAACTTTCAGATTTTCCCTAATGATGCGGTAGCGATTTAGACCTGAAATAATTTCCACGAAAATTTCCTGCGAGCAGAAGGTTCGATATAATCCTAGATCTCCTTCAGTTTCTCTGTATTTCATGTGATATTTCACCCGATGAATAAGATTAGCTAAGATTTTTGAGTTTTTAAGCGTCTCCGGTTTTATCTCGTGATCTGAGTTGGCTTTGATTGTGCACGGTGCTCCACTCAACATTCAGTGGACGTCAACTGCGGCTGAACCAGAGTGCTCAATCCCGAAATTTTTTTCCCATTCACGCACACAAGTTCACTGTTGTATGGCTGTCGTAATGGCTACATTACAGCGTTTTCTGTTGCTTGAAAATCGAGTTTTGTGGAGTGAAAGCGTGACAACGCTATGGTGAAGTGGGAGTCTGTCCGTCAGTAGCAGCGATTACGCAGCGTTTATGGAAGCGCTCTTCACCTCATCTATACAGAAGTTCCAGTAGATTCCATGATTATCATTTGAAATGAACAGGAGCTTGAAAACTCTTCAAACCAGTATTTTGTTGAAGCAGATTGACTTTTAATGCTTTTAAAAGAAAAAATGCAGTGATCGCCAGGGTCAAGCAAGGGGTGTGGCACACGATCGCTGGTTACGACCCCCCCCCTGATTGCTGTCATAATAAGACCCCCCCCCCCTGGGCTATACCCTTAAGATAGCATTACTTGGAGGCCCTGTCAAACATAATGGGCGACATATCCATAATGAGCATGTCAATTAACCCTGTAGACAAAGTTTGAGCGAATTCTGAAGATTCAAGATACTAGGCTACCTAAGTGAAATGGTCAAATTCCAACATGGTTAACTTTGTTTCAAAGGTGAATTAGCTATCCGTTTTCGCACTCAAGACAAAGCAACTCCTTTTTTGTCCACCTCAGGAATCCCGCTTCAGAAGACCTCCAAACTGTGGAATTAGAAGCCAACCAAAATCTCGTTTTTCCCATTTTTCGCTTTTGACCGCTGTGTTTTCACCAAATATTACTCAGAGCTAAGAAGACGAATCAGGCTCAAATCACTTCTGTGAAAACTAGGTGATCTAGGCTATCGATCCATATAAATACTGTCCCGTTAAAAATGTTTTTTTGATATAGTTAATGGCCTGCGGCACCCCCCCCCCCCCCCCCCCTCAAAACCTGCGGCAGCCGCAAGTTTTGAGGGGGGGGGGGTGCCGCAGGCCATTAACTATATCAAATAAACATTTTTAGCGGACAATATTTATATGAATCAATAGCCTAAACCTCGTAGATTCCATAGGGATGTTTTGAGCCTGATTCGTCTTCTTAGCTCTGAATAATATTTGGTGAAAGCACAGCGATCAAAAGCGAAAAATGGGAAAAACGAGATTTTGGTTGGCTTCTAATTCAATAGTTTGGAGGTCTTCTGAAGCGGGATTCCTGAGATGGACAAAGAAGGAGTAGTGCTTTGTATTGAGTGCAAGAAGAGGTAGCTTACTCACCGTTAAGATGAAGTTAATCATGTTTTAAATTACTGCTTTATACAAGGTTGTTTACTGCTCGGAGACCTCAGAGTTCGCTGAAACTTGGCGCATAGGGATTATTCGACACGCGGATTACGACAATTATGCTTGATTAGAGGTACGGTAGGTTACGGTAGGCATACGGTATCTGCAAGTTTGTGTCGTTGAACTTGAATTTTGCAGGATTTCAACAGCGCTTTCATCAAGTCAATTTAGTCACACAGCTTGTACAAGTGCTTTTGACCTTGGGTCGATACGACCCCCCTCCTACCTACCCCCCCCCCCTAACAACCCCCCCCCCCCGCCCCTGCGGCGTGACGCACCCCCCGCTTTACCCTGGTGATCGCTTCTATTTGAGTAGGATGACAGGCCGTAGGTGTTGCAAATGTTTTATATTTTGGGATGTATTTGTACAAAAAAATTTGAGAGTCAACAAATGCGGTAGTGATTAGAAAAACCAGATGGCTTTATAATTTTGTCCAGCTTTTAAAGGAGCATTTTCAAAATTTTTTCGTTTTTCTCTGTTCAAACTCAACAAGACTGGAAGGCGTTTTGAGGGGTAGGTTGACATGCGCACAATACAGCAAAGTTTCAGACAGATTTATTGACAAGAACGAAAATTACGACAATTTCTAGAATGGCTTCATAATTATGTCCAGCACTGTATTAGTTGATCCGCGTGATCCACTTCATCCACTTCACTATTGGTTAAATTAGTGAGCTGCCCAATAGCAAAGTGGATGGAGTGGATCAAGTGGATCAAGTGAACATCCGCTAGTTGTTGATCAGTTCGCTAATTTGACCAGTAGCGAGGTGATCAAATGGATTTGGTGCGTGCTTATGACATCCCCGGCTCGTCACGATAGTCCTTTTTTGAGGGACGAATAAGAAATACATATCGTAAGGTCAGATGGACTTAAT